CGAGTTTCGTGTAGCAATAGTGACATAAGAGAGTTAAGAGGCCACAGAATGAGAAGCCACCAGAATATTTAACAGTGAAACTTAAAACTGGTGTTCTCCAACAGGAGAACATTCCCCGTCTGTCCTCCCTTGGCCCCCGCCTGTACCGCAGGTTTTACTCTGTCTCGATAGCCAGCTTCCCTCATTCCCTCCAGCAATACTGGCTGGCTACTCTTTTCATTTGTCTCTTGGAATTCAGCCGTGGGTAATTTTTAGAAGAAAGAAAATTGCAGAGAGATGAGATTCAGCCTAAGAAGAAAAGTGGGACGTAAGGATAACATGGCAGGTCACAGGACTAATTTAAATGCACCACCAGCTGAGTCAGATGCACAGTCTAGATGGCTGGTCTATGAAAACCGTCGTAAAACATAATGAAGTCTGGTAATAGAATGAAAAGAGAGAGAAAGACCATGGCCCATGCCATTCCACATCCCAAGTTGTTAAAGCAGAATATAATTATCTCTCTCAAGCCTCAATTAACATCATACTCGAGGGGGAATCCAAATGCTGTATTATTTTGTCTGAGAGGAATAGAAGGTTCAGAATGGTATCAGGAAGTCCCTCTGTAGAGACATGACCCTCCATGGCCAACCCGTTACCCCTACGTGGGCTCCCCTGAGCCCAATCTTAGTAAATAAGAGTTGGGTCTTGAGACAACCCAACCATGGTTGATCTCCCCTACTTACCGGTTTGTGTGTGCTCCTTGACTTGCTGTTCCTCTGCCTCCTCCTCTGTGAAGACTGGGGTAGGAAGACGGGTGGTCAGGAAAATTAAATCATTTAATGTGTAGATACAAGGCTCGCAGCCACCTGTCATAGGTAAATACTCCATTGACATCAGGCCAGTGACTCCTTGGCATCGACATTGCAAAGACTCCAGACAAATGTAGCCTTCTCCCTTGTGTACAGTAATCAGCCATTTTATTATTTTTCTTAAATTAATAATCCTCCCCCCTCCCATAAGCCTCCCCCTGTCCAACAGTCTTCCTGGGAAAAGTTGGGGCTCTGAAATGAAAATGGAAATGAATTTGCAGGAGATTTCTCAGCAATGTTCCCAAATTTCCCCACAGTACAAACTACCTGGGACCATGATTCTGTCCATGAGCACCAGCCACTTAGGACAGTGTGAATGGGGCCCCCAGAGCTGGTCAGTCACCAGGCCTGGGTTCTGACCAAAATGTACAGGTGATCAGACCTCTCTCCGAGAAGTTCTGATTCAGGCAGTCTGGGCTGAAACTCAGACACGTATCAATTTTTAATAAGCACTTTAGCTAAGTCTTGTCTTCAGGGAAGTTTGAGAAATTCTGCAGTCGAGAGAGGTCTTAAAAATAGGAAAAATTCCAGGTGGAAAAAAAATGGTAAAGAGGATTAGGTATGGACTCAGAAGGAAAGTGGGAAGACCCAGCAAAGAAGCTCTTGAGTTTTCCATGCCAGGTGCTAAGAGAAGAGGAACAGGGGAGGAAGCAGATACAGAGCATGGCAGCGTGGCCATCGTAAACCAGCTTCACTTTAAAAAATGAGACTTAGTGTCCATTCTCTCAGAAGGCCTCCAGAAACTAGAAGGGACCGTTTCTGAGCCATGTATAGTGTTTGTGGTTTCAGGCTCAGCAGCCTGAGAGGGCAGCACGGTGGGTGGGCAAATGGAAGTTGCAGAGAGAAGCAAAAGCTGCAGGAGACTCTAATTCAGCTCCCTTTCCACGTGGCATTTGTGCCCTACTCAGTGCTTCTCCGCTGTGGCTGCTAGAAGATTCCACTGCCGAGCATCTTCTAAACCACCTCCTTCTTTACCGTGTCCCAGCCGGTTAGGCTAGGAGCACAGGAGAAGGGCACCAGCATTTGCATTGTTTTAACCTCTCCTTGCAAGCCTAGGGAGCAGCCCCATGAGAGCCATTCAGCTAGGCAAGTGACCCTCAACATTGACTTGTACAGAGTCGCCAGGAGCTCTTTGGAAACGACTAGGAATCACAGAGATTCCCTTTTAACTGATCTCAGGAGCAGCCTGGGTCCCTGGGAATTTTAGAAAGTCACCAGGTGTTTTTACCAGTGCAGCCAAGGCTGAGGACTACTTGGCCAGGCTTTATCATCTACAACCACTTTGCTGAAAGTCAAGGGCAACTGCTTTGAAGTGTAAGTTCTTGTGTCTTTGTTGAGAGTACAGAGCAGACTTGCACTGACATAAGGGGTCAGGCCCCCTGCCAGCCTCCTCTCTGCTCTGAGAGGTGAGCCCACTGTCCAGACTGTGCCTGCAGCTCCTGTGATAACTCAGTTTGTCCTGACCTTGCTTGGGGAGAGCAGTGACCTCCCAGCGACATCATTAATCTCTTTGACCGTACCTCTCTCTGGTCATATGGGGTAAATGATTCCACAGAGAGGGTCACATATGATCCATTCATGGGCTAAGATAGATCATTGGTCTTAAAGGTCCAGTGGGGAGAAACAGACCGTATGTAAAAATGGCATAACATAATGGACAGAGACATCACCATGAAACCTGTCCCTTATAACTCTACCCAGATTCCTCTGTTGGTCTCACATGGGGGCCATGTTGGCCTGACATCCCTCCCCAGGCTATTATTTGCAGGCATTTCCTGTTCATTGTACTTGTAATCAGTTGGTTAAAGGGTAGCATAGTTGGGGGGTGGAGGGAGGGCTGATCATACGGGTTGACTCCATGGAATTAACGTGCTCCATAGAAAGGCAGTTTCCTGAAATGTTAGGGAAATCTTCCTGGCTGTTGTAGGACTCCTTGCATGGAGTTAAAAGGAAAAAAAAAATCAGTATAGAATTGATACATCCAAATGGCTACTACTTTTTGCAGATAGTTTAAATAATTCTTCCTTGGCACTGCTGCACAGTACATTGCCTCTCCCCTACGATATCACTCTTGGTGATAACTTCCTGCTTTGACATAGATTTGACTTGATAGTTGGCTGTCTTCTGAGCCAACTCTTTGAGTCACCCCCTTTGTTCAGAAATTTGCTCAGGAATCCTAAAGACACTCTAAAAAATTCAAAATATATAGGTTGCCTAAGAAAGAGAGAGGAATCAGAAGGGAATGGAGAAATGGTAGCATTATTTTTCAGAATTAGTGTATCATGTCTCAAAGAAGAGTGCTATGAAGGACAACCATCACATTTCCTAACATTTGCGTACAATTAAAGAAAAAGTTCCAATGTCTTTATAAACATGTTTGTAGGTCACATTCTTACCGGTTTTCCCTGCTCACTCAATCATCATTTTATATCTGTTGGTTGCCTCTCATGGTTTTCCTAATGTCTAGTAGGGGGGACAGTTCCTTAAGGAAAATGCAGAAGTGGGATGCAAGGCAGTAGAGTCTTCTAGGGTTATAGGGTCTGAACTGGATAGCTAATGAGGCCTGCCCCGTAATAGGAGAATGGCTGTAACAGAGCGCCTGGCCCTCTGGATAAACCGGGCAGTCAAGGTCATGTTCTTCTTGTGGGCACACGATAGGATAGAAGTCCTGCCAGGTGCTGGTTTGGCCCACCCAAGAATCGCATACATGAGATTGGGGTGTCCACATCTTATTGCCCCGTGAGTAAGTCAGACGTAAACAAGTCAAAACAAATATGCAGCCCAAACATCTTCATTCTCAGGGATATGAATAGTACTCCTCCTCAGACCTCGGAAATTGGAAGCCAGATGTTGGTGGGACTCAAAAAGTCTGTGTCCAAGCAAAAAGACAGCAAAAATCCAGGGACACTAACTTTTAGTCTTTTAAGAGAGGAAATAAGTGAACTTGGCTGTGACTTTGTTATGTGGAAGAGAAACATATAGAGTGCTATTCTCAGCGCATGTATAATTTTGTTTAGGTTTCACTGGTGTGGAAATGGCTAGAATTTTCAACTGGAGGGTAAACTCTAGTGAATTTCCCAATGGTGGCTCTATTTATATTCCTGGGTGTACCTCTTGCAACGGTAAAACTTTCTTAAGATGTTTTAAGAAGTGCTCAATCACCAGATGCTTTTTTGGAAGCATTAAAATATTTGAAGAAGCCCAAACTAAGAGCCAAAAAAAAAATGCATTTATCTTGCTTCTTAATGATTCATACGCACAGTAAAACCTAACAAATGAGAACCAGAAGAGACTACACGGCCACTTTTGACACATTTAAGAGGCTAGCCAATCTCATTGGGGGCTTTTTTATAATCTGCCTCCCACAGACGTTCTTACTTCTAGAGAAATAAACAGTACGTCTGAATTAGAAGACATTTCACTGTGCAAATGCCACAGTTGGAAACATCTTAAGAGAGTTTGATCATCTTTCCGGATTTACTAAATCAAAGTAAAACAGCATTTTCCATTTTAATTTTCTCTTAAATACGGCATCATTAAAAATAATTCGGTGAGACAGGATTTATTCCAGTAGGAGTGCTTGTACCTTCTCTATGCAGCCAGCCTAGTTTGGTGAGGAAATTATTATCCATAACATGATACCATATAACATTCTCTTCTGAAATGACAGCATTTCTTTTCCTTTCCTTTTAAAGTAATTTTTTTATATTATACCACAATAATAGAGTCTAGATTATTATGATTTTCATAGCTAGTATCCCGTTTCCCCAACATACTGTCCGTATTTTCTTTAAATGTTGTCTCCGTTCAGCGCAGAAATGCAAGCACAGTTTGAATTACCCTAGCCCTAGCAACATCCCCCGGCATGACGTTCTGGTAACACTCAGTATTAATGATGGCGCGACAGTGTGTACATGGCCCCCTGTTCCGACATCACCATAATTCCGCTGGTCAGGTCCCCGCATGCCTGTTTCATGATCTTTCTAAACTCTCGATGTCCGAGATGTATCCACACATTTCCTTGCAACATCCATTCGAAAGCAGCACCCCTCCCTCCCTGCATCCACCCAGTCGGCATCCACCCAGTCGGCAGAGAGCACACCCCCCCCCCTGAGCGAGCAGTATTGTGAATTTTATCTTCTCTTCCAGAAATCAGTTCGTCTTCGTTGCAGCAGATGAAATTTCTTGTAACACCTCTGCAGGTAACAAACATTGCTACTTCTTGATGCATCCATCCAAAGCTCAGTATTCTCTCTCTTTCTCTCTCTCTCTCTCTCTTTTTTTTTTTTCTTCACATGCTGCAGTTGGTCACTCTAGAAAGTTGAGTTTAAAAAAAAAAAAAAAAGACAAAAAACAAAAACAAAGCCCGTATATCTTTGGAGTATAGCCGAAGCCTTGAGGCTCCGCTGTCTGAAAAGATACCAGGCGTTTTGCTAACTTGGATATTTTATTTCCAGTTTTAATAATACATGATCTAGAAAAGTAAAACTCTGTTGAATGAAGCCACAGTATGATCTTACGGTATAAGCAGTGCTCTTGTGTTAAAATGCTGAATGGGAGATTAAGGACACAGACGTGTGACTTGTATGTTTTTTGACATATTTTTGTCTGGGTTCACGCAGATGTATATGTGAATTATTTGGGATCTTTATTGAATGACTAGTTATAAAAGACCGAATACAGAAAGCCAGAGAGAGGCATTGGGGACTATAATTATCTCTGTCTCATGAGAAGGGGATCTTCATTCTATTAATGAAAGATCCTCTATCTCCTTTCTTTTAAAACGTATTACAAGTAGCAGGATTTAGAGAGACAAAGTCTTCTGCCTTTGGAATCAGGGCATTGGCAAATGGAAACTACAAAGTTGCATGATGTGTCCATCAAAATAATGCCTGTCTTTTTGCTTTGATATGGTTCAGAACAGTTATGGTTGGACTTTCATTAGCATGGAATTACTTGATTAAATGCAAGATAGGTGAGTGCTAACAGATTCGGGGTTCTTTGGTTTTGGTTTGGTTTTGGTTTGTTTTGGGGTTTTTGGGTTTTTTTGGTTTTGTTTTGTTTTGCCTTTAAGCCTAAACTTTCACCGAAACAATTACTAGGGAATCTTATCGATGTGTTGCTTCTAGCCAACAAGGGAGAACCATATAGCTTACAAACATGTAGTTGAGTAGGACATGACCTTCAAAACCCTACATTACACAGAGCGTTGCAGATAGAACTTCATCTGCTATCGATCGCATTTTATCAGCGGAGCCCAGCAAACAAAGGCTTGTTGGCTAACGCTGCCCTCCCTGCTTACAGTCTTTGGTGAAAAGGTACTGAAGGAAGGACACAGTGCTAGGAACATGTCACCAGCCCTGTCCGATCTAAGAGTTTCATTGGTAGACTCGGTGTCCATATGTTTATTCGCTCAGTGTCTTACCCCAGGAGTTCAGGAGGTATGCATGCTTGTATTTTAAATATTTGTATTTTACTCCATTTCTATAAAAAGACCCTGGATAAGGGCTCCCCTTTTTCCCTCTCTAAACTCCCGGCCTGAAACCTCTGTTTCTCCCTGTGGGAGGTGGTGACATCCCTAACACTTCACTAATACTTAACAGTAGGGGATGGATGGTTGCGTGGCCGGGGGTGGCGGGAAACGTTCCTGGGATGCGAGAGACATTTGACATCTTCAAACCCTTGGAAAGGGAGCGTGCTTCTGGAGGGCTACCTGACTGCGGTGGGGAGGGGTGTTGGTTGAAAGTGTTATCAGATACCATCTGTGGATATGCTGACTTCCACCGCCTCCAACTCCCCTGTGTAAAACGCACGCCTGTCCCGGTGTATCCTGGGGTTGCGTTTTGACACCACGGGTCAAACACTGCCACGTTGCGGCTTTAGGAGACAGACATTGATTTCATCCCGTTGCCTTGTAAGCAAGTGGCCCCCACACACACTACTCCTGAAAGAGGCCACAGATAATGAAAGTTGGCCTGGGCAGAGCGAGTGTTGTCACCTACCTTACCGGATTTAGGACGGCTGCTCAGTAAATTCTTAATGGATTGCTATTGATCAGATTTCAAATTGAGAGAGAGATCCCTGTTGCTTTGATGGCCATATTAATAATACGTTGTCTGCTTCATAAGGTTCGATTTGAACTCTGAATTTTGAACCAAGCATGAAAAAGGAGACACCTGTATCAATCAAATGTCAGATTCTCTCCCAGCCAGTCCTCGCTCCTCACAGAGTGAATATGGAAAATCGGAACTGGTCGGTCTACACAGTTTGTGACTCATGGTTTTGATGAAATCTCTGAGGGCCTCTTCTCCCCCGTGCTGGGAGAACCGGGGTGCCCCCATTCTAACCAACAAAACCATCCCCACGTGCAGAACAACCCTTAGGGCAGGTCTCCTGAATAAGTGGTTATCTCCGGGATTTCAGTGTTTCTCTAAACAAAGGAAGAAATGAGCAAGACACTTAAAATCTCAGTTTGGAGGACACGGTGAATTTAATAACTGAAATTCTTATAAAGACGTGTTATTCTCACACAGCTGCCTGTGGGGCAGAGCTGGCCAGTTTTGTCGGTGGCTCGGGGCAAGGATGGTGAGATGAAGATTGTGAGACCACAGGATCTGCGGCACCAAAGGGGTTTTCTTCCTGTCCCCAAAGGAAAAGTGACAATTCTTCCTTGGGTCTTTTGGAGAGGATGCCAACATGCCATTCCTGCTTTTGCTAGCCACGTTAGAAGAAGCTTTTCTTGCTCCCGTGTGTGGTTTGTGAGGCTGTGTTTATTTTCTTATTCAGTGTCTCTGGCAGTGGGATTCATTGTTTGGTTTTGGTGTTCTTTGGTTGCTCCTGAAGGACAAAGTGCTCATGGGGGGTGACTCCTAGGGGGCCTTTTGACAGAAGACCTGAGCCCCCAGTGTGCATGTGTCCAACGCTCACTTTGGATGCTCAGATATCTTCTCATTGTGTAACATCAAGAACCTGTCATGAGTTGGATCCTGCAAGCGATGGCAGGGACAAGGGACAGGATGATTTTCCCTTCTTAGACTCGAGGGCTCCCTGCCACTGTGACTCGCTGGAGATTTTCCAGGACTGGCTAGTGATTGTAGCAGAAGGGAGAGTATGGCTCTTATACCTGAATGAAGGTCATAAAGCAAGTTCCTTAGTTTGGCAGAACAGCTGGGAATTCAGTTCACTTCAGTAATATGTAGTGAGTCATTACTGTGTATCCGCAAGTGTTCTGAGCCCTCAGGACATGGCCTTAAATAAGCCAGGAGAAGCCCTTCCTTCAAAGAGCCTCCTTTCTAGCCAAGACCAGATGCCCGGCATGTAGGTGCAAAGGCATGTGATGTACTGGTGTGGCAAATCCTACAACCGCTCTCATGAATCAGAGGGCAGAGGGCCGGATGGAAACTAGGATGCAATGTTCCTTTAGGTTCACTGGGTAGAGAGAACCTCTCTGAGGGCATGATGTTGGAGCAGGGACCTGCGACAAGTGCAAATGCCTTGTGGTTGAGGCCTGCCTGAGCTGGCCAGCCAGGCTCAGCAGGATGTGCGGCGGGGCCACGGCATCTGAATACAAGGCAGAGTTTTGGACATGAAATCAGGAAGACCGCTAAGGCTCAGAACAAATTAGGACTTGGAGAATTTGAAACCACGGGAGATTTAGGGGTGGTAGGAAGTTCTTGGAGGGTCAGCTGTGGCCTGCCTTATCATTTTAATGATGAGTTGGCATTGTGGAAAGCAGATCGCCGATGACAAGAGCAGGAGAAGGAGCACTAGTTGGGAGTCTCTTGCAACAGTCTGGGGGGGAAGGGCGGTGTAGGGAGAGGGGAGGAGGGTGGCAGGGACCCGGGTTAGGACGATGGTGGTGGAAGAGCCAAAAAGGGGTTGGCTTTGGGCTGTATTTTGAACAGAGAACAAGCAGGACAGGCCAGCAGATTAGAAGTGGAAGAAGTTCAGTCCGTGTTAAACGTCCACGCTCTCCCTCTTGCTCCAAGGGTGTTTTATTTTTACAGAGTGCTAAGACTTGTCGCCACGAAGAGGGAGCCCTCCATCCCTCAGTCCTTGTCCCTCAGTCAGGCTTTGCTGAATTCTCCAGGGTGTGATGATAACTTCCTGTCATCTTGAGCAAATTCTGCATACGAGCAAGCATGATAAATTATATGTATACGTAGGTCCCTGCCTGTGCGTGCGTGTGTGTGTGTGTGCATACGTGCACAGATGATTTCTCACATCAGCTCAGTGAGGGAGGTGCTACCCTCCTTCTCGTCTTAGAGGTTAAAAAAAAATTGCTCAGATCCAAAGAACTTGGGTAACTTTCCCCAAATCCCAATGGACAAAGTTCTTTCCACTGAACCCCACTGCCCCCATGTGCCCCTTGTATTTTGACCTTGCAGCATTGACCTTTGGCTCCAGATGGAATTCCCCTGCTCTCTTGAGTTGTGCTATCTTTGCTCCTGAAAGATGAATATTTGTGAGTTGGAGAGCACAGTTGTTAAAATGTTGGGGGCCCTCAGGGAATTTACCGGCTCCCCAGATGGCCGTTCCCCTGGGTGTGTGTTTGACCTGGTGCGTCCCCTGCGTGCAGCCGGTGTGCGTTGAATACTGTGTCGTGCTGGGCACCAGTCTAGGCGCAGGGACAGAGTGTGGAGGAGAGCAGCTGCCTTGCTGGGGAGCATTCTGCATATTCCAGGAGATAGGGTCAAACAGGCATCGTGTGTTCTGGGTATCTTTCTTCGTGTGTTTCCAGATATCTTTCTTTTGCTGAAAATCAGTGGTTAGAGATCAACAGGCTGGTCCATCCCCTACCAGAAACTTCGAACTGGTGGTTTTGGCTGCTGAATTCCAGCTGCTCGAGAGTATGTGTGTGTGCATGCTTGTGTGTTTCTGGGGTCCAGGAGGAGGCTGGATCTCTGTCCAGCAGCAAGTCTTGCCTCCTCCACCAGGCCAGGCACCATCTTGGAGGCAACGGGAAGTCAGCGTGGGGACATACCCCCCGTTCTGTATGAGTACTGGACACTAGGTAAGGGTGGGGATCTGCGAAAAAGCCTTGGTCGGGGGCATGGCCAAAGCCATTAAAACCACCCCCCGTGGATGGGCTGCTATATACTTGATGAAGTCATTATCAGAAGCAAGTTCATGGCCACATGGGGTGTATAACCCTCTTCCATCCTTCTATCCCCGCCTGACCTACACATGTAGGTGCACACAC